TCTACAAACTCGAAGACCCGGTCTCGAATCTTGGGTGGAAATGCTCCGATACATAGTTTAGTCCTGCACATCGGACACGATGCATCCATTTCTTTATCATTGACAGCGAGCGTGTTGATCCAAGCCTGAAGGCATTGCTCGCCTATGTAATGGCCACAGATCATCTTCACAGCTGGCTCCACATCATCTCGGTCAACCTGATCGGAGAAGCTGCGTCCGCATATCTCACACTCTTCGAAACCAGCCTCTACTGCTTCGTCCGTGGCGCGTTCCGTGAAGCCTTGGACGTACTTCATATCTCCCATGGTCATACCCTGATCCATAATTTGAGCCGAAGGTTCGCCCAGAGATTTCCACTCGAGGATAGTCAGATGGCCGATATGCAAGAACAAGGCCGACCATTCCTCGGATGAGGGTAGACATATGAGCTCATGTTCACTTGGGGCCAACATCCACTTCTTGTCTTGTGGTAGAATCAGACGCTGCTTGGCTGGATCGTCCTGCCAAGTCCCATGGCGTATGTAGCGTGGATAACCTCGGGCAGGGAATGTATCCAGGTTCCTCTCGGCCTTTTTCATCAGCCACAGTATGCGCGCGATCACCAATGTACGTCCGGTGCATTCCATATCGTGATCCGGACGGGCTGGAATATATGCAGTAGTATCGTAATCCGGTAGGGCAAATAGCTCTCTTCCTTCCTTGACATATCGGAGTTTGCGCTCGAGGCTGTGAAGTTGTCGTAATGACTTTAGATATTTGTCGATGAGAGCTTTGTTACACTTCTCTTGTAGGAAAAGGATTGAACGGGACTCTGTTAGATCCATTAGGATTGTCGTCTTCAATTTATGAATGTGGACGTCGCAAATCTGGATCGCGTTGGTAAATTGATCGAGCATCATGACGACATCTTCATGTGCAGACTTCAGCTGTGGCTGTGTCATTCCCTCGATGTTGGTTCGTTCGAGAAGGCGCTCGACTCCTGTACGTATCCTCTTACACTCATCAAATAGAGTGCTTTTTAGAACCCGCACAGATGCCTCACTTTCGTCTGCTGCTTTGAGGGACATGGCTGATGGTTCGTTCATATGTACGGTTGAGGGTAGTTTTGGTGATCTGTGGGGAAGTCACTTCGAGGCACTGTTATTATACAACAGAGATCCCGCAAGTAATCAGGCAGCAGCAAATGATAGGGACTGAATCACTGTACCGTCTGTGAAAAGACAATGTCAGCGTTTTGCCAATCGTAAGTCCTTCGAGGCATGATTATACATTCACCTTACAGCAGAACACCAATATTTCAGCTGAACTTCACTCTCTTGGTCGCATGCTCCTTCGCAACCAGCACCTCTTCTTTGAGAGTTTCACTGCACTGCCAAGCATTCCAACTACTTTGAAATTCACCAACGAACAAAATGGTGGGCCACGACGAACTAAATGAGACCGAGCTCCGCGTCCCTGATCCCTTCAGTGTTTGCGAAGTCATCCGCATGCAGATCGACGCCTTCCCCGATGAATTCATCTACGGTGGCAAGTTGACTCCCGACAATCTACCTTTAGTCTACGACCGTAGCGTCAAGCTACTCGAAGATATGAAGGCTGCTCTAAGTGAAGCCAGGACCAAGGTCCCGGTGAAGAATAGGCATATGCGGGTAGAACATTGGATTTGGATGCAGCGGTATGAGGAGGCCATGGCGACTATGAAGCAAACACGCAACAAGCTACGGGATCACTACAGTCGGGAGATGCTCTTGATACTTAAACGTGAGTCTTTAAGTGGGAAGTCAGACATTCTAGAGTGCTGTGGACCGGCGATGTATCCCAAGAGACGGAGAGTGCTTTGGCGCCGTTTTCGCAAGACGGCAGTTGATGTTTGCGAGACGGTAATTCATGTATGCCATTGCTTACTGCTAGGTGGCTAGATAGCGTGAATTAGAGTCTTGATAAATCCAAAACTCAAATCGTGACGATTATTGAACATTTATATCGCGTTTAATGCACGCCGCAAACGTGCGCTATAACTGTTTCGGATCATGTTGTCGGTGGGTGCGATTCAATGACGAAGCCTTCACATCATCTATTCAGTGATCATGAATATTGAGGTCTAGCGAAAGCGATTTTCCTCAGCCAGAGGCATAAAGCCTCTTATTTTACCTCTGCGAGTCAATACCCACCGGGCTCGATACGACCGAACTTCCCAAAGCCCACGGAAAAGCCTTGGTACTGCCGAACACCTTGCTCGCTCTCCAGACTACATCTCAGCACGTCAGGAGCCTCAGCACCGGCATTAGTAATGGACCCCAGGATAGTCATGATGATGCGACAAATGCAGCTGGAAATGCAGATGAGAGCGCAGTTGGAAGAGGCGCAAATGCAGGGCATGCCGCTAAGACAACGCCTGCAAATGGCGGAACAGCTGCGCATGAGAGCGATGATGATGATGGGAGCTCAGCGCGAGCAAATGATGGAGGCGCAACAAGAACAGATGATCATGGCCGCATATCGCCAACAGATGATGGCAGAGCAGATGCGCATGGCTGGCGGTGGTGCAGGAGGGCCGATGCCACCGGGCGGCATGCCTTTCCCGAGGGGCCCGATGTTTTTCCCAGGAGGTATGGCCGGGCCGGGACCCGATCCTCGAAATCATCCGCGAACTGAGTCCCCGGACAATACTTCGGATTCCGACGGGCCTCGCGACGCTAGACCCGGTGGAGGGTCGCCAAGACACGCTGGTGTTCGAAATGGACGACCTGGAGTTGTGTATGGAGATTGGGAGGTCGAGGAAGTAGAGGATGAGAAGTAGAGAAGCTTATGGTATTGACCATGCTGTCTGCAAAGCCCTGCGCGATTGAGTCTGCCGTACCGCGCAAGGGCAGGGTTATGTGCCATTACTATAATGACCCAAGGCTTGCAGGTGTCCATGAAATCTTGATAATAGCCAATATACTCTTCATAAAGTTTTACCGTTGCAATTGTGTACGGCCATACCTGCGCATTTGGCCTCCGTGCACATGACAAATGGAAACTTGAACTGGCGACGGAGCTTGAAAATAGTGCACGAGTCTTTGGTCTTCCGCAGTGCTTCAAGTCGAAATCCATGGTTGCGGTCTCATTAAGCTCTGGGGGTGGGCTTTGCCGCGCCGCGAAGGATCAGAGGCTGTGATGATTACTGATACTTAGGTGCCGGTGTGTCGTGGTAAAGTCGAGGGGTCAGAAGAAAAGCACGAGAGCAGTGCCTGCGACCAGGTCGCGATAGCTCATATTTCTACCCACTGTTCTTATTCCCATGTGGAAAGTAAATCGCGAAAGATCATTGTAACTGGTGTCGAACGACAGGTGGTACTGGAGGAGAGGATGGATTGCGCAAGGGGTTTGTAATCGTAAGTGGGGCCGCCGCCTTCTCCGCTTCTCAAAGAAGGAACAACCACCGCAAGCGGGCAGAATTGCCGGTCTGGTACATCATCCTACAAGCTTACATCATTTATGTAGCCGACGCGATTATATAGCATTGAGGGCGATGCCATACATAACATCTCTGATACATTCTGGCATCTAAAATGCATTCTGCGAACGACCACACCAATGGTCACCAGCCACCAATCGGACCTCGGCTATTCTCCGTCAAGCAACCACCATCACTGGACGAGTTCAAGACACTTACAACGGAGTCTGTTCCCTGCCACTACCCACTAGCAAGCAAGATCGAGGCGAATGTGCCGATATACGATCTACCCGACTATGCCTCGCTCTCCCCAGAACAACGCTCGGCATTACAGGATGAGTTTTACCACATCCTGCTTTCCGGACCAGGCGTGTTCGTCACCAAAGGTCTCTGCAAAGACGTCTCTCTTCTTCAAAAAGTAAACAACGTATACGCAAACATCATTGCAGAAGAGAAGAAAGTGGCGGGCAAACGCGGCGACCACTTTGCTGGAGCCGGCGCGAACGATCGCATCTGGAACTCCGTTTCGAAACACTGCGAAAGAGACCCGGAGTCATTCGTGCAGTACTACTCCAACCCATGGTTGCCTCTCATATCTGGAGCATGGCTCGGTCCGCACCACCGCCTCACAGCACAAGTCAACATTGTGAAGCCAGGCGCGAAGGCCCAGATTTCGCACAGAGACTACCACATTGGCTTCCAGGATAACGAGTCTTGTGCGAAGTTTCCGAAGGCGATGCAAGTCGCGTCACAGTTTCTCACGCTACAAGGAGCTATCGCACACTCAGATATGCCAGTGGAGAGCGGGCCGACGCGATTGCTGCCGTTCAGCCAGAAGTTTGAAGAAGGATATATGGCATACCGCTTGCCTGAGTTCCAAAACTACTTCCTTGAGAAGTATGTATCTGTGCCACTAGAGATGGGGGACGGTCTCTTCTTCAATCCAGCGCTGTTCCATGCCGCAGGTCAGAATGACTCTGCCGATATCATGCGTTCTGCCAATCTGCTTCAGATCTCATCAGCCTTTGGTAAGCCGATGGAAGCTATCGATACGCACGCACTTGTTGAGAAGACCTGGGAGGGATTGTTGGTAATGTACCAACAGCATGGACTAAGCGATGAGCTCAGAGCTCTCGTCAGCGTTGTCGCTGAAGGATACCCTTTCCCGACCAATCTTGATAGAAGGGTACCTGAGACGGCTGGCATGGCACCCGAGAGCGAGCAGGATGTTCTGATAAAGTCGCTCAAGGCCGGCTCTGAGAAGCAAACAGTGTTGGATACGTTGACGAGGATGCGAGAAGAGTCGAAGACTTGATGCTGTATTGTGCGTTCTTGCTGAGTGGTTCACATAGATGCACGACATCACGTTCCAGAAACAATGTCTAAAATGTCAACTCTATCAAACGCTGCACACTATTTCCCTGTGACACCGTACTTTCCATTTCGTAGACCCTGGCGTTGACCAGCGTTAACGATTACAGCAAACACCGGGAAGCTGCTTTAGTTTGTCGACACGTCTCGCTCCTCCAACGCCTGCCGCTATCCCCAAGACGTAGAAATCATGACCTTCCCCATAGCGACCCTCCTTCATTCCTTCGTATCACAAGCCCTGGCCGACGCTGAACAAAAAGCGAAACTCGGTATCCTGGAAACTCTACCAGGACACCGAACTATGGCCTTACGACCCGAAGAGAACACCAGCGGCCCCCTTATAGCCACTCCAAGGTCCCCAAAACCGTCAGATGAAGCCAGATTTCCACTACCCCTAATGTCTTCACCCACCAGCCCACCTCAAGATCCACACACACCCACTCACGTAGCCCTTACACCAGACGCCGAATTCCTCATCATCGAAGCCGAACTCGCAAACTGCCAACTGACACGAGAAGCGCTACAAAGACGCGAATCCGCACTCAAAGAACGCAAAGCAGAAATCGTACGAGAAACAAAGATGAGGCTTGACAAGGAGGTGCGAGACTTGGCAACGCAAGGCCAAGAGGAAGAAGTCGATCAAGGACTGTTCATGAGCGATGTGCAAAGGAGAGTAGAGGTTAATCTGAAGAAGGCAGATGAGATAGATGGAGCTTCACCAGAGAGGTTGGACCAAGCAGAGCCAGTGGAGGAGAAGAAAGCCGTCCCCATAAGTGCACCAGAGCGGAGGAGACTTGCGCGTCTTGCACTGTTGAAGCAAGACCCTAGGCTAGGGCGATGATATTGATATGACTGCTACATTAACTCTCCCGCGCCCATGTGCTCATAATGCTAGTCATATCACCCTGTTATGCTGGTGCTTTCATACACACATCTCTCCTAGTACGTAACTCAGTTAAGGACAAAGTACTCCGCAATCTCTGGGAAAAGCCTGCCCATTCTCTCCGCTGTGATACTGTCCACCTTGAGAATTGGATCGAGTTTGTACGTAAGCCACAGTATCTTCATGTTGAGACAGGTCATTGCGCGGGCTTGTACCGAGACTTCGCCTATTGTCTTTTAGTAAGAATGAGGGTTATAGCGGATGTGCCTCACGTCTGTGATCTGCAGCAGTGTTCTCGATGATCTTGTTTAGATCCATAATCTCGTCTTGCAGCTTTGTTAGTTGTTGACTGTAGTGATAGTCTGCATCGCGTTGTGCTGTGGTGGGTGCGATAGGGTGCTTCGAAGAGGACATCGTGTGCAGATGGGTGTTGTTTGTCGGAAAGACTTGGAAAGAATTCGAATGGTTGCGCTGATGTTGCAGCGGGTTATCGTATTGCATCAAAGACTCATATACCACTTCAGAGTCGTACGCTGACACCGACACGAAGGCGGCAAAGGCTAGACACAATGTGAAGACTGGATGATTGATCACACGAACTCTCTTACTCCGCTGTACTGATCGACATGCTTGTTGGTGATGTTAGGATGTTTGAACGTACTTCAAGTACAGCATCGCTGGCCGAGTAGCGTTCGCTCCGTACTGGAATGCTCGCGTATTGATCAGTGTGCCGTTCAGCTATGCAAACACCTTTACCCTTCCATATTGCCAAGTAAGCATATATCCTCTTGCCATAGTTGTCATCAACAACTACCATCACTCTACCACACTTCTTGCGCGACAAGCCTTGACATATACCCAGCGCCTAAGCATCACTCACTCGGCACCCTACCTCATTCTCAACCTACCACATCAAATCATCACACTCAAGTCACCAAGAATGTCACACAACACCCCCGACAACCTCCTCAAGCTCGCCGCCGATCTGAACAAACTTGGTGGAGAACTCTGCGCCATCGGCGGCAAACTAGCAACGGCCGCCACAACTCTTGAGCAAGAAGCTGCGAATGTTGCTCTTGCCAATGCGCAACGATGGGGCGTCGATGTACAGGTATGCGTTCGCTAGAAACGGGTTATCACAGTCAGAGTACGGTTGATACTGACAGCATGCGTAGGTCGCTGTGAGAGCTGGGCCGCATGGTCAGTGGGTTGGACAAGGAAACGAGCTCGTCGTCAATGGGGTAAAGAAGTAGTGGTAGTGCTTAGTGAGGAATGCGGAGGAAGGGATGGGAGAAGGGAGCCACGGCATGTGTACGTGGAAGGCGTGGGGTTGAACATCAGTCAGGCGCGACGGTACACACCGAGCTGTGTGGTGCGGAAGGAGAAGCGGAGAGCAGTGACAACACTCGTTGTAGATCAGTGTAACATTACTCTCATTCCACGATTGTCTGCCTCCTTTGCAAGCTTCGTGATGTTGCATAGAAGCGAACGCAGATTGTGGATAAGACTTCTCCCCGCATGTCGGATCCTTTACCCCTCTTCACATCTTGGGGTTTAGCGTTGCAGAGTTTTATCAGATCATCAGATAAGATGCGACACCGGACGCCCGAACAGCCACTCACAGCTCAAGACCAGCTCCGAACCATCTCCAGCCTATATCACTCATGTAAACTTAATGTTGTACGCGTAGACATATTCGACGCAACTGGCTGCTTTGGAACCAGAAATGGCGGTCTGTCTTCGGAGCGCGAATGCCCAGGTTCGGCGGTGGTGTGATTTCGCCCATGCCCGGAAGTTGACGAGCCAAGCTGCGGAGCTGGGCACGGGCGGACGTACATTCGGTATAATCCTGAAAAACTCATTTACGGAGAGCGGAGATCTGAGGGTCGTCACATGCAGGCAGATATATGAATTGAAAGAGTATCATTTGACCCGTAGTTGGGTTCGTTGAAACGTGTAATCATTAGTCTAATTCCGGGCTGCAGTAGCCATGCGATATGATACAAAATGCAAGAAAGTGAAGAGTGTGTAACCGTCCACTCGTCGTTATTCATAGCGACCGTCAAAACCCTCAATTTGTGTTCTCGTTACGGATGAACGACCATGCGAAACAGGATACAGACACTCTCGCATATCAACGCCGCGGATTGCTGGCGGAACCGCTAAGGGTGGGGTATCGGGCAAAGCAAAGACAGGAGGGCGCTATCAGTGGTCGATATTGTAGTGAGAGACTGCGTCCATCATGGCGTGATCCTCGGCCTTGGTCATGGGCGAGAAAGAAGCTCGGCGCCGTTCCTCGGCTTCTTCAATCAGCGGCGCATGTGGGCCGTCGGACGGGCGGGTCCTGAGAGGACGCTGGGCGTGTTGGAGGGTAGTGAGAATGCTGCTGGCGTCCAGCTCCATCGCGCTGTACATGCCGGGTTCCATAGTGAATGTGTCCCTGCGAGTTTCCTGGCGTCCGAAAGCCTGCGGAACAGGCTTTAGTTGGCGCCAGTCCATGGCGTTCGGGTCCGTGGAAACTCGACCATCAAGTAACTTGAAGGCATCGCTGCAACCGACTGTCCTTCCAGTACCCACAGGCGACGAAATGCCGGCGCTAATGTCTATGCTGGTTGATGCCTTGGGTTCCATGATGTCGAGCGAGCTGCTCTTGCTTGAATTACGCCGTGAGCTCGAAGGGGTTTCCTCGCTCCGGAGCTGAGCGACTCGCTGACACCAGGCTCGCTGCTGGGGGTTTGACTGACAGTCGGCACAAGAGCCAGGCCCGGTCATGGCCATGTTGGGCTTCGCTTCTTCAGTTGAAGAACCACTCTTCATGCGCGTGAGTGAGATGCCCTCGTCGGCGCTGTCAACACGAGCAGGGGGATCGCATATGCAGATGTCCTTTTGTCCCTCACAGAAGCCACAGTCTGTAATCTTGTTGTCCTCCGTCGATGGTGCGAATGTAGATGCGCTCTTGAACTTGTTGGTGAAGTCGACTTCGAACTCGACGTGGGGATGCTTCTCTTGGTCGAGCTCTCCTTGGCCGCCGCGAAGTGTTCCAGTCATGGACACGCCGTCCATACGAGCCGAGGCCTCGTCCGGGAATTGCATATCATTGGTGAGGTCGGCGAGACAGGCGCAATGTTCAGGCGTGCAGCGATCGCATCCTGATTGCGTGCTCTCGAACGGTGCGTCGTGGCGTGCGCTACGGATTCGAGCGAAGTCCGGCATGGGAGCATAGTCCTCGAAATTTGGCGTGCAGACGTCTTCGCCTGCTCTCGCTTTCTGGTACATATTCCTCCACATAATCGTTTGGGCGTCACTTGTGCGTAGACGCTCTGTCAGTATCTGGATTTCTTGTGCTTGAACCCGTGCTCGGTCTTCCAGAAGCTGTTTCTCCCGTAGCCATGTGTTGCGGGCATCGTTGAATTCCGTACTGGTCTGGTTGACCTGTTCGAGCAGCATTTGTACATTCTTCTGCTTGCGTTCACGGAAGTTGCGCTGCGAGATGCGATTCTGGGCCTTGCGCTTGGTCTCAGGCTCCGCGGTGGCAGGCTTGCGGCCGGGCTTGGGTCGGGGCGGGATGGAATGTATCATGCTCGTAGGCCCCCCGCCCGACTGGGAGGGGCCATTGGCGTGCGTGTTGACGGACAACGTGGCGGCGACGTGAGGGCCTGGTGGGGACTTTGGTACGAGTTCTGGGTTGGTGTCAGTTGTTGAAGTGGGCAAGGGTCGATCACGCGGTTGGACAAGTCTGGCAGCCAACAGCCGCGGCGAACTGCTGGTACGCGGGACACGCGGAAAAAGCAATCACGTTACTCACGGCGGATGGAGCTGCGGCGGTCTTGTTCAAAATCGGCAGCGGTACAGATGGTGCTTCCCGAGGACTCAGCAGGCGATGGTGCAGGGCTGCAATCGGACCCAGGTGTGGCAGCGTTGTTGGACGAGGCCATGTTGCGCGGCGGAGCGTAGGGTGCGTACGGGATCTGGTTATCAGATGGAGATCCTGAGTTATCAGATCAGCGGGCGTCTTATCCCGAGCAAAGCCGAGTCCGGAGCGGAACGGATCAACTTACCGGCGGCGCTAGGGTGGACATAGTTGAACTTGCTGGGGAACGGGAACCACGCGTGGTACCCGTTTTCTGTAAAAGACTCGCCCTCCATAACGGGCAATGAGCTCGAAGATGTTAGAAATGTTAGCGAACAAAAATGAAAGAGATGGGCAGTCGGTCTTTATAAGGCATCTGTCTCGCTTAGCATTCGCTACTTCCCTATTACCAGTCACCCAGAGTTAGTCGCTACTATCATAAATCAACGGTTCGCACGTGGTTTCCTCCCGAATTAATGCCTCACGAATATGACTGAACTAGGGTAGTCAGTGCAGTCAACCACGGCATGGTCCAGCCCCCACTCCAAGCATTTGAGCATATTTGCCAGGCCTCCCTTTTGCAATCTAGAATTACAGGTAATTGCTTTGGGCTTCGTCACCCTAGGAATAATTAAACACCTGGAGCCTACATCGCCGTTAGGTCAGCGACCTTGCATGTATTCAGCTTGATGTAGTCTCCAGACATGTTCAAGTTCAGTCTGGGCTATCCAAAAGGTATCATTACAACTTACTCACATCATATGACCACATGGCTATGATCTTAGGCAGCAACACAATTAAATGACGAAAAAGCTCATTGGAGACATATCCAGGGAGTACGTCACAGCAGCAAATGCAAAAGATAACCCCTTATAAATCCGCAAGCATTCTGGCATGGTGGGCCGCACCGAGAGCACGCAACACGATCGGCAAAGTCATGCTCTGAGAAACTGGTGACGAGTTACTGGCTACAGCTTTCACAGATCCACTTAGCGCTCTACGCCCTAGCGAGAACCATCGGATAACCCTGCAGGCCCGTGGCTTTGGAGAGAAAGATCGAGTCACAGGAAATTCAGGGTGCATTGGCCATATACCCAGGGCTCCAATCAGCGACTTCGTCTTCTAAGTCGGTGATGCCGACCCAACTAATACTTGGAGGACGGCGCTCTCGCCGTCTTTGCAACTTAGTAGATCCTGAGACGATGGCGGATGCGAATAGGGCTGTGCAGTCCGAGATGCACACATACTTTATCGAAAATGCCGTCACGATCACGGTGTTACGAAGGAGAGATTTGAGCCAGCATGAATTATGAGATGAGGCTATTCTTAGCAGACACGTTCAGACTGATCCTTAGGCCCACGTCCTCCACTCCCAGAGAGATCATCATAGCGGGCCTCCGAAGTGTGTCATACATTGGTACGGTGCGGGCCGACGCGCGCCCCCATATAATCAGCCATAGCTGAATGAGTCTTACCCCTACGTCAATTGCAGAAGCAGAAATTTCTCCGCCGCTGGTTTCCAAAACTGCTGACGGTCCGATATCATACCATGGCTGATGTGGAATGGGCGTGCGGTGCCCATGAGAGGCCCTGTCCGTCACTGCCGCAAGTACCCGTCTGACACTGTGCGCACCTATCCCTAGGTACATGAACGGGAAATTAGCAGAATGTAGGCATTTATCGATTGGCACATTGAGCATCATCTCATCGGTTCGAAATCATCAAGATGATATTCACCATGTCGCAGTGACCAGTCCATACCATCACTGCCTTCAAATGACACCACCCAAGGCACCCACTTCCCCTAGTCTCCAACCCGAATGTTCGACTAGCCATTCTCAAAGCAAACTCTTCTCGTCACGAGACAAACATTAACACAGGCCCGTGGACCCGCTTCTCAGGCACCATAAAATTTAGTCCGAGCTTTCAGAGCCGCACTAGCCACACCCACAGTACTGAAGAAACATCGTCCCACGGAAACATCCCCCTTTCCAGTAGCGTACCCGCCAGATATCTATACTCATCGCGCTCCTGTGGAGGGCATGGGCTAGACTTGATCGTAGTTCGTGGAGGACTGCCTACCCTTGTAGCATTCACCTTGAAAGCTTAGATCCCGCTAGCGCCCGCTGCAGCCCTACGGGACCCTGGTTCCTGAGCGACCCGACCGGGGTATGAAAGTATCGATCGTACATCGTCTCATGAGCTAGAGCATTGTCATTGGCCATTGCGGAGGACGGGTCACATGATGAGGCGAAGAGGTCTCTGTGTGTCTGGGTGGGGCGATGCGCTGGGCTGCCTAGGCAGTATGTGCACGAGTTTCGATCAGTGACCGACGGTGGGCTGCGTAATGGCGCGGAGCTGTTCTCCGCCGGCTGTTCAGGCCGAGAAAGAGAAAGAGAGAGAAAGGAGGAGTTGGAAAGGTGCGGATGGCGATTGCGGCATCTGCGGCCTCTCGCTGTAGGATGGCCGCTGCACACCGGCATAAGAGCGTGTTGCAATATTGAAACCATCAGACACAGCAGAAAGCGAAAAAGAACTTTTCTGACGGGGAGTAAATTCAACATTACATTGCTAAGAAGACGCTTTGATGCAGCTCTCCGTCGTGAACGTTTCAGTGTACCTCATCACGAAGCAGCATCGGCGTGCCTGCCCGCCCAAAACCACGCTCGAAGCACCCGCGGCGCATATGCAAACACCATCAACGCTAGACGCCGTTATGCCAATCCAAATCCAGCGCATCGCTTATGCGCTTGCTCTAAACACTACACTACCACCATGTCTCCATCTGATCGTCTCGCGGGCGTTCATAACGTGAAGTGCGCGAGCGAGTGCTTGTTCCGAGTAACCCTTTCCATCGACCATCTCACGCTTGAGCGTCGACAGGTTGACTTGCCAGCCAATGGGCATACGTCTTCGGAGTTCCTCTTCGACTTTGTTGACTTCGTCCATGAGCTCCTTTGAGCTCTGGCCCTCGCCCTGATTCACCGCGTCCATCGTAGACGCAAGGAAGAGACGAATGGCCTCATCGACGTGCGACTCGTCAGCGATAGGCGACAGCGATAATTTGGCCAGCGACTCGGTGATACGGATAATGGCTTCTAGTTGACGGACAGTAATCGGGATACTGGATCTTTGGTTTGCGTTGATCTCCGAAGCGTGCACTTGCCGCCTGATGCTGACGAAGTGACTGGACAGCTTCTCCGCAGCCTCAGGCGAAAGACGCGGCGCGCACTTTTGCCGACAGTATGTGATGTAGCGCTTCATCTTCTCGATCGGAATCTCGGCTTGTACGGTCTCCTCGACACCTCGACCACCCATTGCGATACCCATGACGTGCTTTGCTATTCGCTCGTCACGGCCGCGATCGTGTTCATCGCGCACAATGAAGATCATGTCGAAACGCGACAGAATGGTGGTCTGGAAGTCGATGTTCTCGCCGGGTGTCTTCATATCGTCGTAACGACCGAAGATGGGGTTGGCGGCCGCTAGTACAGATGTTCGCGAGTTGAGAATTGTGGTAATACCTGCCTTGGCGATGGAGATGGTTTGTTGCTCCATGGCTTCGTGGATGGCCACTCGGTCCTCGTCGCGCATCTTGTCGAACTCGTCAATGCATACCACGCCACCATCGGCCAGGACCATAGCACCACCTTCGAGGTAGAACTCTCGTGTGTTGTGGTCGCGCTGCACAGACGCTGTCAAACCAGCTGCCGAAGATCCTTTTCCTGAGGTATAGATGGCAATGGGTGACACTTTCTCGACGAACTTCAAGAGTTGCGATTTGGCGGTACCGGGGTCACCCAAGAGGAGTACGTTGATGTCTCCACGCAGCTTCATCCCGTCCGGCAGGATCTTCTTTGCGCCACCCATCAGTAAGCAAGCGATAGCCTTCTTGATGTCCTGGTTTCCGTAGATAGAGGGTGCGATGCAGCGTGCGAAGACTTCGTAGATGTCGGGCCTCCTGCTCATCTCCAAGAATTCTTGTTCCTCTTCCTCGGTAAAGACAGCGTTGCCTTTGCTGCCGTGGTCCACCTCAGCGTGTATGCCGACAGCGCGTATGTATGGGTTGCGAATGGCTACTGCGGCGTTGCCTGCACGCCTCGAACCCTTCTGCTGGTAGATAGAGAAGACACCCATCACTGAACACCGTGTACCCGGAACAACGCGATTCGCCAAATAGCGGTCTGCGGAGATCATGATGTGTCGTGGTAGTTCACCGACCGGAACCTGATCAGGCGCTTCCTGCAGCTTGAGCACCTGCTGGTCAATGAACTGGCAGCGCTCGTGCATGACATAGTAAGGGTCCAACGGGCATTGTTCTCCCTGCTCGCCCTCTCCCTTCTTTCTACCACATGTCCTCGGGAGGGAGACACCGGAGAAGCCACCCGATACGGGGAGGATCTCTTCATGCTGGCAGTTCCTGCAGCGTATAGCGAGTGCGGTAGATTTGGACGAAAGTGTAGACGCGCCGATGATTATACCGGGTATACGGACGAGTTGCGAGACGTTGGTCGCAGTCAGGTCGCGAATGGAGAGTTCTGAGGCGTTCGAGTGGAGGAGCAGCTGGTGTTCTGGGAGCTGGATGTTCTTTTGTGAGGGGTAGACGATGCGTTGTGTGCACGTCTTCAATGCCGACTCGAACTGGGAGGCATCAGCATGCGCACGTAATTCCAGAGGGTACAACGTACGAGGGGTATAATCTCTGCCGGGTTCTGTCTGAGATCATGCGCAAGCTCTGGGCTGTAGCTGATCAGATGCGCAACGTCAATGTCGCAGTAGTATTGCTTCAAGAGAACGTTCTCGCGAATTTGATCTCTACAAATAGTTAGACCGCTGCATATGGCACGTGCGACTGCCTGCCATACCTGTAGACGAAGATGTTGTCGAGGGTAAAGTCCATAATAAAGTCGACAAGCGCTTGGTGCACGCGCGAGGGCGCAGCTGCATCCCCGGGCCCATCGCCGGCTTGGCTGCCGAAGAGACTGATTGAGAAGGGAGTCTGTCTGTCCGCCATTATGTGTATCGTGCGTATCGTCAGTCGTAATGGTGGTTGTAGAGGGGCAAACACACGCTGTCGCTAGGGGG